CCCAATTGATGAGTGCTACAAGGACATCACCACAGCACTAAAGACATCTGCTAAGGAAGCGATTCCAAGAGGAAACCCAAAGAAGTTTCGCCCTGACAAAGAACTAGAACAACTGACATAGGCCAGAAAGAAAGCCAGACGGCGTGCTGAGAAGAACCCAACAGCCGAAAACAGAAAGCACTACAACTACCTGACTGCCAAGGTAAAGCTGAAGAGCAAAAGTGCGAAAAGGAAAACATGGAGAGAACATTGTGAAGAACTAGACCTTCGTAAGGATGGGAGGAAAGCCTGGAACCTGCTCACCAATCTCTCAGGTACAAAAAGAAGGAAAAACCCCGCCCCAATGAAACCAACTGAGAAAGGAGAGACATGCAGAGCTGAGGTTATGAATAAATACTTTGCTAGCATCAACAAGAAAGGAAACCAGAACAAACAGAGCCACACAATAAAGCAGCTGACCCAAAGTGCAGAACGGACTCCCAAGGCAAACCTGGAGGTGTTTGAGAAGGAGTTTACTCTGACGGAATTGAAGGCAGCCCTCAAAAAGTGTGAAAAGAGAAAGGCCCCAGGACCAGACCACATCACCAATGAGATGATCCTCAACCTGACAGACTCTTCCCTCTCCATACTCCTGGATTTCTTCAACAGGACCTGGACTGAGGGACAGCTCCCAACAGAATGGAAGAAGGCAAACATCACAACGATACTGAAGAAGAACAAACCAGCAAGCCAGCCTTCAAGCTACAGACCAATCTCTTTAACATCATGCCTGGGTAAGGTCGTCGAGAGAATGGTCAACGACAGACTGTACTGGTGGATGGAAAACACTGGCACAATCAGCGCATCACAGGCAGGATTCAGGAAAGGCAAAAGAACTATGGACCACCTCATCAGATTTGCCCAGAAGACCAGCGATGCCTTTCAAGATAAAGACAATGTTGTGTCTGTCTTCATCGACCTGAGGCAGGCATACGACCGTGTGTGGAGACAGGGACTGTTCTTCAAAATGCAAAAGCTTGGGGTAGCAGGAAGGATGTACAGCTGGATCAATAACTTTCTGTCTTGCAGAACTATCCAGACATCATGTGACAGCAAGATTTCTTCACTGAGGACACTCGACAAAGGCCTTCCACAGGGGTCAGCACTCAGCTGTATCCTCTTCCTGTTGTTTATGAACGACCTGCCAGATGTCATCTCCTGTCAGAAAGCTCTCTACGCTGACGACTTGCTCATCTGGAGCAAAGGAAGTGACATGAGAGCACTGAACCAAGCCATCAACGCAGACCTGACTACTATCTCTTCCTACTGCCAGCTATGGAAGATGGAGATCAACACAGACAAGACTGTTTTTGAACTATTCAGCCTCAAAAACAAAGTTACAGCAGGTCAGGTAAACCTTAAGATCAATGGAACCAACATCAAACATGAGGACTATCCCAAGTAGGCCTACCTTGGTGTACAACTGGACCGAAAGCTGTCTCTCAAAGAGCACTTAGGCGAGCTGACCAAGAAAGCCACCTCCAGACTAAACCTTCTGAAACACCTTTCATCACTCAACTGGGGAGCTCACAAAGCAACCCTCCGACAACTTTATATAGGGTATGTCAGATCTGTGATTGACTACTCCCTACCACTACAATCCATAGGCAGCCAAAGCTTTTTGGCACAGCTTGACAGAGTACAGGACCAAGCACTCAGATTTGTTTCTGGTGCGATGAAGACCACGCCTACTAGCACCTGCGAAATCCACACCAACATAGAACCACTGGACCTCAGAAGAAAGAGTGCTACACTCGAAACCTATGAAAGATTTTTGCGACTAGAAGACACGAACGAAAACAGAAAAATGGCAGATAAGTGGGAACCAAGAACACGCATCCAGAAAACCTCCTTCATGCGAGAAGCAACAAAACTACTGGAGGAGTTTGACCCACCTGAGAACAGAGAACCAATCACCAACATCAGCAGCGAACCTCCTTATTGGCAGGCACCAGAAATCACAATAAGGACGAGACTTCTAGACCCTTCTTGTGACAAGACGACACCAGAAGAAATCCTAAGAACTAGTGCCCAAGAGACAGTGGACTCGTATGCTGAAACCCCTATTCATGCATACACAGATGGATCAGCAACTAACGCTACACGGAATGCTGGATACGGATCCATCATCAAATATTGAAACAACCTTGAAGAGAAGAAGCAGACCCAACTATTTGGCCTATGTGGAACATACAGCTCCAACTATGACGCAGAGAGAGTTGCCATAGTAAAGACCCTGGGGCAGATCACCCAAGACTTTTATGAAGGCGCACTAACACCGGGGGATGTTGTTATCTTCTCTGACTCAATGTCAGTACTCCAAGCCGTCGAGCGAGGAAGAGACTACAGAGGTGACAGGAACGTTCTCAGCCTTGTAAAACAGATGGGCACTACCTATGGCGTCAGGGTCACACTGCAGTGGGTGCCTTGGCCATTCTGGAGTACCAGGGAATGAGACTGCAGACCAACTATCAAAGACTGGAGCAAGCCTGCCCCAGACAGACACAGCCGCCTCTTTACAGGCCTGCAGAGGGATCATCCAAGCCAAAAGCAGAGACGAGTGGCTAAACAGATGGGCCAACGCAGAAACAGGAAGATCTCTCTTCGGGTACATGGACAAACCCAACCCCAGAGACCCATCGAATCTCTTATGTAGAGCTGATCAGACTTTGATCTTCAAAGCGCGCACAGGACACTTACACACCAACAAGCACATAAATAGAATTAACCCCATGTGGGAACCCCATTGCAGACACTGTGACTACCACAAGAAGACCGTTGAACATCTTCTCCTTCACTGCCCAAACCTGGCAGTTCTTCGACGCAGGCTCCTACACACACCTACAGACTTACAAAGCCTGCTCTACTCTGGCACTGACCAGATGACAAGGACTTATGGTTACTTGAGGGAGGCATTGCGCTGCCAAGAGCGAAATGCTCGCAGCTAAAGGGATTTGAAAAGAACAACAACAATAACATGCTCTTGCACGGCGGTAGAAGGGTTGTGAATTATTCAGACCAAATGAGCGAGAGCATATTAAATCTTGTTAACTTGTTAAATAATTATAATTAGATCTAAGCAATCCTAGCTCTTTTCTTCACTTTTTACATTTTTTAAAGTTATATTCTTTCTTTTCTTTTTTTCTTGCCTTTCCTTTCCCTTTCTTCTTGAACATTTTGAGTTTGGAGCCAAAAAAGAGCCCAAGAGCCAAATGAAATTCTCCGGGCAAGACGCAATCCAAAAGAGCCAAATTTCTGGGATTTGGCTCCAAACTAACAACCCTAACTGTGACACGATCTTGTGGAGCTTCAACCCTGACACCCCAAGTGATTCCGGTTACCTCAGCCCTGATATCCCTCTAGGGTCATTTCCAGTAAAACGATGGGGTGAGAATAGCGATCACTGGAAACAAGAAAAAAAGCACTGAAAAGTTACATCGAGCCAATCCTATTATACGGGTGTGAAGCATGAACAATCACTAGACAACTGGAAAGAACAACTGGGGCAACAGAGTTGTGGTTCATAAGACACATGTTGCGTATCCCACGGACAGCTAGAAAAACAAATGAAGAAGTCTTGGTTGAAGCAAAGTGCTGATGACAGCAGCTTATGATGAATATACAAAAGCAACAGGCAAATTTCATTGGACACACAATGCGGAAAGAAGCACTGGAGAATATTGAAACAAAAGGCAAGTTTGATGGAAAGAGAGGCAGAGGCAGACAGAGGGAAATGATACTGGACAAGTTGACAACATGGCTGGAAACAGCAAGAACAACAGACACCATTGCGGCAACGCAAGACAGAGTGAAGTTGAGGTCATGATCGCCCACGCCCGTCGGCAAGGCACTAGATGATGATGATGACCCTTCAGTCGCACCCGCCGCGTTCAAGCCCAATAAATGGGGGTTAATATGGTCAGAGTTCCTTCTGTACTCTGTTTCAGTCTTTCAAAGTCTCGAAATTCCCCGCTGATGCCGAATCTGATGCCGAGTTTTCATCAAGCACAATGATGTCCGTCTAACACATCAGCAACCCCCTTGGGAAACAAGCAAACTGTCCCACCACACCTCTCTGCATTGAGTATTGTACAATGTCTAGTAATACCACCGTACCTTTGTGATCATATTGTGGAAATGTGCAAATAAATTAAATATATATACGGTTTTCTCCCCTGCCTTCTCCAGTTAACCCCCCGCCCCTCCAACTCTCTCAAACCAATTAACCAATCTCTCAGTTTGGGAGGGAAACCTGTATATAGTAAGATTTTTATCATTTTGATGCAGTTCATTGTTAGTTCATATTTTTCTTTGACAGTAGGGGCTTCAAGTATCAATGAATGACTGAAAGCTCCTCTGAGTTCTGAGCTATGACTTTGTGTTTCAACCCTTTACACCCTGATCACCTCCTGAGGCTACCATATGCCCCTCTGCCTGAGCTCCTGAGCGATATATTACTAACATTCATATATATGATGATCATCAGAATCACATTCCATATCCCATTCAGGGTAGTCCTTGTCATTACCAGTATCTAAGTTAGAAAAATCTTCAAAATAATCAATAGCATCTTGTGAAGTAAACGCTGTTTTCTGGGCGTCTTGTGTAGTAAATGCTGTTTTCTGGTCTCAGGTGGGCAGGGTCGGGGATCGGTCTCGCTCACTGCTGTACAGTTGGCTAGGCATATGGGCAGTTATAGGCAAGGGCTCAAAGGGTTAATCATACCATCTCTTCACAGGTCCCACTCTTCACTTTATAGTTGTGTAACTGTTAAGTATTTTCTTTTTTAATACTTGTTGCATGATTTCTGTTTATAGTGTACATGTACTTCTTTACTCCAGAACTAGAAGTAGAGAGGAAAACCTGTAGATTGTCTATAATGAAAGGGAAATAAGGAGAAAAAATGAATGTGGTTCATCTTTGCCTGTTTAACAATTTGGGGTTTTTTTCTTTTTTTATAGGCAGACATTTTCTCTCCAGTGAAGAAAAGTTAAGCAAGCTTTCTTTCTGGAAGTCACAATACCAAAAACAGTCTCCAGATCCAGGTTTTGATTGGTTTGTAGGACCAGAAAATGTCACGAACATCCTTCAACATCACATGCAGGAGCTCTGGTCTGTGCTCTGTAAGTATTCTGATTTGATTTTCATTTAAGACAATGGACAGAATTATCTTGACTTATATTTAATAATTTTTTATCTTTGTATGAAATCACCAACTTCCAATCGGACTACCATTCAGCCCATCTCTTGCCATCTGCTCTGTCATGATCCTCTTAACTATTAAGCACAAGCATGTAAAACTGAAATTGTTTGATGCCTAATGTTGTTAACTTGCCTGTAAATATATATGCAATTTTTTTTTTGCTGTTGCAACTGTTACCTGGTGATGCTTTTGTTCTTGTGCTTTATGTACATTAAACTTACAAGCTGGTACCACATCTTGCTTATCTCAGTTTTTAAATCTGTAAGTCAGCACATTGTGGAAGGCTTTCATTTAAATGTTTCCTTTTAGTTCATTTCTGTTGTTATGTTCTCAAGACCAGATTTCATGGCAAGTTGACCGCTAATGGGCACTTTACTTTGTAACACTCTTCTGTGTGCCACATACTTATGCTTGGGCTCCTTTGGTGAACTTAATCTGAACACTGGAATATACAATTATATATATATTATTGCATATCTTTGGGGACCACCAGAATAGAAGTTAAAGAATTTGGATTTGAAGATGAATCTTACCTCAACATTGCAATTTCGACCTTGCCTCTACTCCAAAACCTTCTCTTCGGTTACCCTTGTCTTGTCAAAGTTTTAAAATACTAATAATACTAATCTTTCCCAAGTTCTTCTATCATTTAATTTATTCTGTTCATTTTTTTTTCACTCAGGTGGTAGTAATTCCAAACCAAGTTCTGAGATAAAATCCCAGTTTATGTACTTAGAGCTTGGATGTGGCACTTCTCTAGTACCCCATGATGTCATCAAGACAGCAGACGTTCCTGTCAGTGCTGTGTTGTTGGATTATGTACATGAAGCGCTTGCATTCCAACGCCAGAATTTTGACGTCAATAAAAGAGGAGGGAATCGTCATGCTCTAACAGTGTGTGCAGATGTTATGTCATTGCCACTCAAGTCTTGTTCTTTTCACCTTGCGGTGGACAAAGGTGCAGAACAGTCATTGCTTTTTTTTTGTGGACCGTGTGTCTTGCTTCCAATTGATTCACTAGCTTTTGCAAAAACTCTGGCAAACACGAGTATTTTAAATCAGTAATGCTATGGAGATATATCCATTCTTCTTCTTCTTGTTCTCCTCCTCCTCCTCCTCCTCCTCCTCCTCCTCCTCCTCCTCCTCCCCTCCTCCTCCTCCTCCTCCCCCCCTCCTCCTCCTCCTCCCCCCTCCTCCTCCTCCTCCCCCCCCCCCTCCTCCTCCTCCTCCTCCTCCTCCTCGTTCTTCTTCTTCTTCTTCTTTGCGTTCCATTGGTAGATCTTAGGGGTAGTCGACTGCTGGTTCTTCAACCTGCACTCACACTCACACAAAAAACACACATGCGCAGAGAGAAAAAGAAAGAATAATGTTCAGGCTCAAAGTGGACTACATGTACTAAAAGCCCACTGTATAACTACATGTATAAACTAAGGTTTTTGAGCTATAAGTTCCGAGATCCTGTGAAGTCTTATTTTCTTCCATGTGTTCCCAACAGTCACCTACACACACCTTCCCCTTTTCAGTGTTCTTCTTATCACTTACATGCTCATTTTACTCTCTGAAAAATCTTTTGGCCATTACCTTCCCCTATCAGAAAATTTTTTTAAAATCCAACAATTAAAATAATTTATATTGCTGTGCAGAAAGATCTATCTATGTTTTATTTGGCCTGGTCAAATCAAGCCAGGTGCTAGAATCTCTCTTCCATTTCGGGACTTAATGAGAACAGTCAAAACATAATTTATTCAACTTCACCTTTAACAAAGGTCAAATTGGTTGAGTCTGAATAAAAAACCCTTCATTTGTTAATTGTTTTTCAGAATCTTTCTCAAGTCTCTACCACAGGCACAGTAATACAGTTTATGATTCCAATAAAACAGTTTGAGCAGCAGTATCACAATTTGATATAATCATGGCAGAAATTGTACAAAGAGACATAAACACCATAAAGTTTTAGATACTGGACAAATGTTTGATTCTATTTGTTTAATTTTCAGGTACCATGGATGCTTTGCTAAGGAACAGGCAACATGGAAAATCTAATTCTCAAGCGATGCTGTCAGAAGCTTTGAGAGTGCTCCAGAGAGGGGGGCGATATTTACAGATATCAGATGAAGATCCTGATGTACGAATAGATTACCTTGATAGTCTGTGGAAATCTGTGTGGCCAAAAGTGTGTTATTCGAACAGCAGCAACGCAGACTCTGCTAGTCGAAATTTGAAAAATTCTGTCGATTCAACAGGTGAAAAGAATACAC